AAAAAAAAGAAATAAAAGGCATCCAAATTAGAAAGGAAGAAGTAAAAGTATCTCTGTTCACAGATGACATGATCTTATATGTAGAAAACCCTAAAGATTCCACAAAAAACTATTAGAATAAACAAATTCAGCAAAGTTATAGGATACAAAATCAACATACAAAATTCAGTTGCATTTCTACACACTAAAAACAAACAATCCAAAAAGGAAATTAAGAAAACAATCCTATTTACAATAGCATCAAAAAGAATAAAATACTTATGAATAAATTTAACCAAGAAGGTGAAATACTTTTACACAGACAACTACAAAACACTGCTAAAAGAAATTAAACACAAACAAATGGAAAGATATCCTGTGTTCATGGACTAGAAGATTTAATAGTGTTAAAATGTCCATACTACCCAAAGCGATCTGTAGATTCAAGGCAATCTCAATGGCATTTTTTTGCAGGAATAGAAAAAACAACTCTAAAATTCATATGGGACCACAAAGGACTCCAAATAGCCAAAACATTCTTGAGAAAGAAGAACAAAGCAGGATGCCTCACACTTCCTGACTTGAAACCATATTAGAAAGTTACAGTAATCAAAATATGGTACTGACATAAAGACAGACATATAGACCAATGGAACAGAATAGAGAGCCCAGAAATACACCCATGCGTATATGGTCTTCAACAAGTTGCCAAGACTACACAAGGGGAAAGGATAGTCTCTTCAACAAATGGTGTTGGGAAAACCAGACATCCACATATAATAAGTGAAATTGAACTCTACTCTTATATCATACACAAAAATCAACTCAAAATGTATTAAAGACTTAAACGTAAGACCTGAAGCTATACAAGTCCTGAAAGAAAACATAGGGGGAAAGCTTCATAACACTGGTCTTGGCAATGATTTCTTGGATATGACACCAAAAGCACCAGTAACAAAAGCAAAAATAGACAAGTGAGACTACATCAAACTAAAAAGCTTCTGCAGCAAAGGAAAGGAAAGGAAAGGAAACAATCAACAGAGTGAAAAGGCAATCTACAAAATAGGAGAAAATATTTAAAAAACATATTGGATAACAGGTTAACATCCAAAACACATAAGGAACCCCTATAACTCAATAGCAAAAAAGTGGGCAATGGACTTTAAGAGGGCTGTCTCCAAAGGAAACATGCAAATGGTCAACAGGTATATGAAAAGATGCTCAACATCACTAATCATCAGGGAAATACAAATCAAAACCACAATACGATATCACCTCACATCTGTTAGGATGTCCATTATCAAAAAAACAGAAGATGATAAGTGTTGGCAAGGATGTGGAGAAATTGGAACTCTTGTGCGCCCTTGATGGGAATGAAAAATGGTGCAACCACTATGTAAAACAGTATGGAGTTTCCTCAAAATATCAAAAATAGAACCACCATAGTATCCAGCAATCCCACTTCTGGGTATTCATCCAAAAAATTGAAAACAGGATTTCCTAGAGATATTTGCACTCTCATGTTCATTGCAGCATTATTCACAATAGCCAAGAGTTGGAAACAATCTAAATGTCAATTGACAGATGAATGGATTAAGAAAATGTAGTATATACATACTTTAAAAAAGAAGAAATCCTGTCATATGATACAATATGGTTGAACATCAAGGACATTAAGCTAAGTGAAATAAGCCAGTCACAGAAGAACAAATACTGCAAGAACAAATACATGATTCCACTTATATGAGGTATTTAAAATAGTCAACTCATAGAAGCAGAAAGTAGAATGGTGGTTGCCAGGGGCTAGGAGGAGTGGGAAATGGAAAGTTGCTGTTCAATGGGTATAGAGTTTCAGTCATGCAAGATGAAAAAGTTCTAGAGATATGCTGTACAACAATGGGCATATAGTTAACAATATTGTACTGTATGCTTAAAAATCTGTCAAAAGGGTAGATTTCATATTATGTGTTTTTTACCACACAAAAAAGTCTCTGGTTTCAGGTCTCGTTTCCCATTCTGGACAACAAAACAAAAGAGAAATCTGTATTTGCCCTGCCCCTGGGCTTTAAGAAAAAAATCGCTGAAATGGGGGCTTCTGGAAAACAACAATGAGAACAAGTAGCTTTTTCTATTTATAAATGTGACTTTCCAACCTGTGAAAGATCATGAGATAGGCACAAAGTAAAGTTATAATGATGACATAGGAATTTAAAAAGGACTCTTAACGATGATGCAGACTAAGCTCTAGAATGCGGTGAGCCATTTCAGAGGAATGAATAACTGGGGTAATCAGAGAACAAGGAGATAAAGGCTTTATGGGGAAATGAGAAGAGGTGGATTGGTCTGGAGAAGTTTGATTTGAGTCAAGGTCTACAACATCTAAAATTTAAATTATTCTGTTAGGACACTCCCTAGTCTCTTTCATGCACTTCTCTTTCTCCTTACTCATTCTGCACAAAACCACCAAATGAATTCTGTCAAACCATTAACTCCCTTTTATCTATAGGCACATTCCTATATCCTCTCAAACCATCCAAACCACAGTTGAGGCATATTTGTAGAAAGTTCCCCAACTGCACTTCTAGCTAAGATTCATTCTCCAATGCCTACATACACCCAGGAACACAGAGGCCCAGCAGAACATTTAAAAGAGACCAGACTTAGGGCAAGCCCCTGTGGCCTAGTGGTTAAGTTCAGCACACTCTGCTTTGGCAGCCCAGGTTCGGTTCCTGGGCGTGGACCTACACCACTCGTCTGTCCATGGCCATGCTGTGGTGGTGGCTCACATAGAAAAAGAGGAAGATTGACAGCAGATTTTAGCTCAGGGCAAATCTTCCTCAGCAAAAAAAAATAATAATAATTAATTAATTAAAAATAAAAGAGACCAGACAAATTCCTTTTGCTTCTATCATCAGTTATTTTCTACTACTTGATATGAATTTGTCTTAATAATCTGCTTTTTATAACCTCTTTCAATCTGCCAGATATACTAGCCTCCAGAACCCTGCTTTGCCCCTGACACCACACTCTTCAACTCAAATTTCACATTTTGGTTTCTACACTTAGGGCTTCCATTAACTCTGGGGACCTGAAACACAAGACTCCTAGTCTTTACCAACCTTTGCCTGTATATACTTTGTGGTTAAGAAGGTTAATTCTGACTGTTACCATGACGCCACACCATGTCCAATGCAAGCATTGGACATTATCACTGCCAAGCTCAAAACTCTACAAACGGTAAGTCCACTGATATGATAATGTTAGGAAACATAGATAATTCTTCACTATTTCTGAGATTTCCATCTTTGAAGAGCAAGTCTTATTAGTGCAACGCTCTGGACTCCTTAACATTCCTTATTTCTGAAATCCACACAATATTACTGCATTATAAGAACTAACTGTATGGAAAAGATCTCAGATCATGTGGAGGAGGGAAGAATGAGGATTTTAGGAATTAAGAGAACAAGGCAAGGACCTAGATAAAACAGGCAGTGCAAGGAGCCAGAGGAGAGAGGAGAGGGACATCCCTCCACACGAGAGCTGAGCAGAGAGAAAGAGCAGCTGTGTGGGGAGAGTGAAAGTGAAGGTGTCATTTGGGGACATGATGATGCCATGTCAAGTGTCCCCAGTCACTTCCAAAGGTGTGTGGCTTTTAAGAGGTGCTTCCTGAAAAGTCTTTCAAAGGTGCCTGTCCCTCAGTGACCACCTGGGATCTCAATTCCAAAGACTCCTGTCTACCTGGTTTTCTCACTCACCTGGACAGCTCCAGTGTGAGCTCTCTCCCTTCAGCATCCATGGCTCTTGTCCTTGCTTCACCTTGAAGATCACTTTTGTTTTGGTAATTGGACCCCCTGTTCATGGGAAACAACACAGAACTGGAGACAAAGTGCCAGGGACAACCAACTACCTCACAATTCAGGTCTGCCTCCTTGAGTCTCAGGGCCTGTAAAGGATGACAAATGGGCTTTAGAATAGAAAAGACCCTTGTCCTCTATTTAGGAGGTAGAAGCATAAACACACTATCTGTTTATGCTTAATCTCAAAGGGGTTAAGAATCTCTGACCACTAACATTCAGAGCCGAATTTATTAATGCTTCAGAATGGTCAAAGCTTTCACAAATCTTAAAGGAAGGGCACTATTAATACATTCTGAGTTACACAGGGAAGTTGTCCTTTCCCACTGAGATGAGGTTTCTAAAGTTCTCCAGCATCACATTCCAACACATTTTCCTCTGAGCACATCCCAGCAGCTGCCACTCCTCTGGGGTGAAGTCCACAGCCACATCCTGGAATGTCACTGATCCCTGTAACAACACATTCATCTTCACCCAGTAGTGAGCACCACTGGGGGATGTGGAGGGCATTCAGAGCAAGTCCTCTGATTATGTCCATTGTTCAGAGTTTGCAATAAGTTATATAGGATAACTAGAAACTACTACATACTTGATTCAGGATTAAAATTTGTCAGAGAACAAAATCATATTAAACCATATACATTCATACATAC